GAATGTGATTTTAAGCCAGGCAGATCAATTTTCAAAAGATTTGATCGGTAGTTTCACCATAATTATAGTAGTGTTAGTAAGTCACTATGAAATAATGAGAGAAATTATGAAATTATTGGAAATTAGGTTTTAAAAACTACTAGTATTAATGATCTTAGTTTTTTATTATAGATTAATAATTATGCAGTTTTTCAAAATGGGAGATAAAACCTTACTGATCAACTATCGGCCCATTTCATTCGTTTGTAGCGACGATATACGGTTGCGGGTAATAACTGGAAGAGAAGGGCTTAAGATAGAACTCAGTGGTGTTGTTATGGCCGGTAAATAAAATCCCAGGGTTACTTCACTGGTTTAATTTCTTGATAGTTACAACTTGCTGACCGTACTGAACTACTGAACTGAATATATAATACTGTACTGCGTAGGAATATACTGAACTGGTACTGGAATAATTTTTCATATTTTATTATTGGGTCGTCCGCTGGTCCTAACTGGACCGCTGGGTACGGGCCCCGAGCTTGCGCTCCTTGCCCGGGCATTCTGCTGGGGTGAACCACCCCAGCGTCGTTCTTTTACCGGCCGACCTGCCGGCCGGCCGGAGGGCGGCTGCTTCTCAGCTAGCCGCCTGTGGGCGTTGTGTGGCAGGAATCATTATGTCGCTCGCCGAGCCGGCTTAACGCCGCCACGTCACGTAAATGACGTGATCACTCGGTGGAGAGTAAGTCGCGCGGGAGCGCGCGATGGCGTCCGGTGGGCGCGCGTGGAGAGGGGCGAGGTCGCGCAGGTGCGCTTTGTCCGCGCGCGAGAACATCGCGCGCGTCAACCGGACGACGAACTGCTCCACCGATGGGACCTTGAGGTCGCGGGCGATCACGTCATTACGGACGTACCGTCCGGCATTTGTGCACAGACGGAGGGCGGCGTTCTGTTGGACCTGCAGTCTCCGCCGCTGTGAGGCCGAGCACAGTGCGTACCATGCGGGGGCGGCATATGTGAGCCGCGAACGAATGTAGGTCTTATAAATGCCTACTTTCGTCCGCAGCTGCAGCCTGGATTGTAAGACCGGTCGCAGCATAGCGCGCGCGGCCTTGGCTTGGGTGACAACCCGGTCCACCTGCGGCTTCATACGCAGCGACCGGTCGATTTCTACCCCTAGGTAACGCACTGTGCGTTCCCACTGTATGGGCTGGCCTCTAAGTAAGAGGGGCGGCGGGCATTTGCACCCGGGGCGGGTAAGCAGCGCCACCGTTTTACCCACGTTAACGGTGGTACGCCACTTATCCAGCCACTCGGGGAGCAGGTCCAACAGCCGCTGCATTTTGCGAGCGGCTGCGTAGGCTCGGCGATACGACGTAAGAAAGGCACTGTCGTCGGCGAAAAGAGCGAGGATGACATACCTCTCTCCCTCTCGGAGTTCATCCTTCAAGGTGGGGATGTCGTCTGTGTACGTCGCGTAGAGCGCTGGCGAAATGCAGCTGCCCTGCGGGACTCCGGCGGCAATTGGGCGTGTGGTAGAGTCACAGTTCTCGACCGAAACATAGAAGCTCCGGCCCGAGAGGAACGAGTCCACTACTCGCACGTATGCTGACGGCGTGTTGGTGTCGAGCAGCTTTGACACCAAACCGTCGTGCCACACACGGTCGAACGCCTTCTCTATATCGAGAAATACGCCGACCGTGTAGTGGCCGCGGTTGTGCTCGACAGCCATATGGTGGAGCACGCGCGTCAGCTGCAAAGTCGTCGAGTGTCCGCCTCTGAAACCGAACTGCTCGTCGCGAGGCGACAGAGTCGGTCTCAGGCGGCGGAGCAGGAGGCGCTCGAACGACTTTGCTACGTGCGAGAGCAGAGTGATGGGCCGGTAGCTTGCCGGCAGGCGCTTGTCCTTGCCGGGTTTCGGGAGGACTATGACTCTACCCAACTTCCAGTTGGTAGGGAAGTGGCCGGTCCGGAGTATACCGTTGTAGAGCCTCACTAAACACGCTAGGGCTCTACGGGGCAGCTGTGCGAGCGCTGCGGTGCTGATCCCGTCCGCTCCGGGCGCTTTGCGCTTCGGCAGGCGGCTGACGAGCCGCCTTACCTCGCCGGGCGAAACGAAGCTCACTTCGTTTACGTCCGGCGACGGAGCGGTACGGAAATCACATACGCGACGTACGACTCGCTCGTGGTGCTCGACGACAGTGCTGGGTGCGTCGGCGGCGATTGGATTGGCCGTGAATTGCCCCTCCAAGTGCTGTGCCAGGATTTCTGCCCGGTCTTGGGCTGCGTAACGACGTCTGCCCGTCTCGTCAAGCAACGGGCAGACGGGAGGTCGTGCATTGGTGAGCTGTCGATTGAGTTTGTGCAGGTCGGTATCGTGTTCGCCAGCCCGGGATATGACACCATCCCAGGCGGCTCCACGCCAATCCCGCACTCCCTCCGACAGCTCTGCAGCCAAGCAGTTGAGCTCACGCTTGACCCGCGGGCAACGGGTTCGGGCCCATAGGCGACGGAGATTCTTTTTCCGGGCGAGTTTTTCGCGCAGATGGTGTGGCAATTCCTCTCGACGGCGAGAAGCCACGTTTATTGTGGTAGTTGCCGCCTCCACTGCGGTGCGGATTCGCTCCGTTATGAGTGTGGAGGCGGCTTCGACACCCGCTGGCGATGATAGTTCGCCGTCGAGGTGTAGATGCTCCAATTCTGCGCGAAAAACACGCCAATCCATCCGCCGCCTCGACGGTCTCGTCGGTGTGGTGGTGATGGAGAGGTCAAGCGTGGCTAGAACTGGGAGGTGCTGTGTGTCTAGATCATACAGCACCTCCAGTATATAGGCACAGCCTGCACTAGGGCAATGTCCAGAACGTCTGGGCTATGTGTGGGAGTTGAGGGTACGTGGGTTGGGTGCGCTGGGCCCAACACCTCGTACCCGTGGATCTGCGAATCCTGGAGGAGTCTTCGACCTATCGGCGAGCACAGACGGGAACCCCAAGCCGTGTGCTTCGCGTTTAGGTCGCCCATAAGTATGGTGGGACTCCTCCCATCCAGAACGTTCCGGACATCGGAGGGGCTGAAATCCAGTCCCGGGGGACGGTAAGCTGCCAGGACCTTCAGTTCCGCGCCGTCGACGTTGATGCTGACTCCTATGGAGCGCATGACGCGGAACTCGGGGCGCTCTAACTCCACGTGGACTACGTCCCGACGGACTAGTACCGCCGTACCGCGGTACGCAATGTCCGCCGGTGACGTTTCGTCGCGTCTATACACGTGGTAGTTAGGCACCCTCAACGTCTCCTTTTCTGTGAGCTTCGTTTCACCCAGGAGTATGATGTGCACATCCTGGGTGCGAGCTAGGAGACGGAGGTCCTGGACTTTATCCTGTATTCCCCCGGGGTTCCAGTACACAATGCGCAGGCTAGTACCCGCCATTTGTGTACTGTTGGATTTTGGCCAATCCATTTAATGCCGCCGACTTAGTATCTGCGCCGGCCGCGAGCGTAGTAAGCAGCTCCGTCAACAGGCTAATAAGCATGTTCAGTGCTCTGTCGACGGGCGCTTGTGTGAAGGGGGCGGGTGCGGTGTATATCGTTCGCGCCTCTGGGTGTGCGGTCCGTGTGGGGGGCGCAGGAGGTGCGCGTCTTGCGTCCGCCTGTGGCGGCTCGAATGCCACTCTCGGCACGCTATGTGCCGGTGGCGCCGCCCGGCGGCGACGTGGCGCAACTCGTGGACCCTGTGTTGGGACGGCATGCGTGGGAAGGCCCCACCCTTCCGGTGCGATGTACGCATAGCTTGTAGGGGTGGGATCCGGTAAGAAGGGGATTGGAGTTGAGGCCGTAACTGGCCCATCACCGCGCCTCTTCTTGCCGCGTCTTCGGCGGCGGCGTCTTTTATTTTCACCGGTGTCGGTGCCGCGATGCGTCGGCTCGTTGGCCGGCGCCATTAGGTTGGCGCCGGCTGTTTCCTCGACCGTTATTACGGGAGGAGGGGCCTGGGCGACGTAGGTACGCGGCGCCGCGGTGGGTTTATTACGACGCTGTGTTTGCGCCACGGGCGTTTTTGTCGTCGCGGTAGGGACGGGGGGGCGGGGTTTGATGCCCCTCTGCCGTGCCTTCTTATACACCGGGCATTTTCTGTCGTTGGCCGTATGTGCCTTGGCGCAGTTGGCGCATGTCGGTTTTTGGTCCCTCGGCCTGTCGCAGTTCGCCGCCGGGTGCTCCCCACCGCAGCGAACGCATTTCACAGGCCGGTGACATATATGCCTGGCATCTGTGGCATTGTGGCAGCACCGATGCCGGCTTCCACGCCTCAACGACGACGCCCCGCATGTACAGGAGCTCATCAGTCGCGTACAAGCGTGTGAGCTCGTCCCTGTCCATGGGGTCGAGTTGGGCGTGGAAAATGCAGCCGGGGCATTATCCCCGCACTAGCCGCATAACCCCTTCTCCTGCAGTGCCTCCGCAATCTTGTCATTGGGCGTGTCGGCTGGGAGTCCTCTTATCGCCACCTTAGTGGGCAGTTCGGAGGCCAGACTATAAAAGTACCAACTTATTGTTGGGTCCTTTTCGCTGGCCTCTACCAAATACCTTTGGACGGCACGGAATTCTTCGTCCGTCCTAGGTAGGAATCTGACCCCCGTGCCGTAGGGTCTTGCGTTGGGTGCCTCCCCCAGTACGCGCCTGAGCTGGTCGAAGTGGCGCGTCCAGTTAGGGAGGCGTTCTGCCACTATGGGGGGGTATTTTCCTCGCCCTGTGGCGGGTTCTACGCCCGTATCGGCGACCTTACCCTGTGAGGGCATTTGCGGGGCTGGAGCCGTGGTGGCGGGGGTTGGGGTGGCGGGGCCTGCCACCACTGCCGCAAAGGACGGCGGGGTTCGTCGTCGCGGCGAGGGGACGGGGGGGAGCATCGGCTCGGGCGATTGTGGCACCGGTTCGAGTGCCGCATATGACGTGGCGTCATACTCGCCCCTATCTAGCGTATAGGAGCGAGGTAGCGGCGAGGGCACACGCGAGGGTGCTGGCGAAGGCTCAGGCGATCGCAGGCGACGCATGTACGTCGCCGTAAAAACGCCTGTCTTCCCCTTCCTCCTCGCTCCCGCTATCCGGCGGGGGGGAGGGTGAGCGCGGAGGGGGTGAGGGCTTTCGCCGCACGGTACCCGACTGGGACGGTAGGGGTTGGTAGCCCTTGTCCACAAGCCGGATTCTCGGCGTCGGCGGCACCTTCACTAGGTCAAGGTCGCGGGGGGGGGACTCCTCTACGTCCCTCCGTTTGTCGCCTCTAGCGGGCGAGGTCGGCGACGGCGGTGCACGTCTTTTAGATGGGCCAGGTTGCGCGCATCTTTCCCCTCTGCCTGGTTCCCGGTCGGCGGCATCACCGCTTCCCGCGAGGGCAGAAGGGGTGCCCTTGGGTGCCGGGCGAGCGTGGAAGGTCCCCAGCTCAGTGGCGGGGACCAGCTTGGTCGGGTTCCTTAAATCCCGACGCACAACAGTTCGGGGAGCTCCCCTGTCAGGGGGTTTCCTGGGGGCTTTGCCCCTTTGCGACATTACGAGACGAAAGGGTAATGTACTAGGAAAGGGGACTGGAGGGGTGGAAGAGGGTGGTGTGGGGGCTGGAACCCCACGACGAACCTACCGAAAGGTAGGGAATTCCGCCCTGAAAGGGCAGGTGATCACGCTGTAAGAAAAAGTGGATTGCAGCAACGAATTTGCGTCAACAAATTTGGTCTGCAATCCTAGCGCGTTCTCTGACTAAACAAAGTACACTTTGTGTAGGGATTACGCACTGTAAAACAATTTGCGCAAGTGGGCACCAGTTGCGGGGCTCACTTGGAGACTCGACGGCGAACCGGAATCTCACAGAGGATCACACGACCAACGGTAGACTCAACAAGCAACAAATTGGAAAGCGACCAGTGAGGTGATCTAAGGAAAGTTTAAGTGTATAATTCATTAGGTTTTGTATAACATTATCGAAATACCCATGTGAAGTCAGGCCGAGTCACTAGTGTATAACTATTCTAAAATATAACGAACTACTTAGTAAATATCGTCACGCGAGTTCGTCATGTGAGTTGTATTATTACAATGAGTAAAACATTTTTTCACACACTACTAGCACGAGGGACGTAAATATAGGTACGTCTCATATATAAAATTCTCGTGTCACAATGTTAGTTACCATACTCCTCCGAAACGGCTTGACCGATTTTTATTAAATTTAATACGCATATTCAGTGGGTCTGAGAATCGGCTACTATCTATTTTTCATACACCTAAGTGATAACGGTAGTCCAAAAAAAAAAATGTTATGGGTAACATTTTTCTTAAATTTTTTTGGACAAAATTTTAGATTTTTATAACGTGATATTAAAAAGTACATATCACCTCAAATTTTCATCCTTCTACCATCAATCCCTAATTTTTAATAACGATTTTAATTTATAAGGAAAATAAACGTTAGCGACGTTTGCTAGTAGTAATAAAATTTGTACGTTGTCGTGTAGAACCCGGAACATTCTCCCCAAAAATAATAAGACACAAGACTGCGTAGCAGTCGGAGCTGAAAATTTATAGTTATTATAATGGCGTATCTATCCACAGTTGAATCGAGATGTTGAAGGTTAAATCACAATCACGGGATAAATACTTCGCGAATTACTAGACTGTGTGTTAAGATATATATTTGTTCTAGTTTTCATTAATAAATTCTTCTTCATTCTTGTGACGGCCTCGGTGGTCTAGCGGTTTAATTCATTGCTTGATTTCCGATGGTCACGGGTTCGATTCCTCGCATGGTGCAAATATTTGTATTCATGAGTATTATTGTTTGTTCGCTCTGGGTGTTTTATATATATATTATATATATGTATTTACAAAAAAAAAAACAGTATTTAGTATAGTATTATAGTATTGAGTTGTCTAGTACCCATAACACAAGCTCTGCTTACCGTGGGACTACATGGCGCTGTGTTAATTGTCCAGGGTTTTTTGTTTATTCTCGCCTCTTCCCGAATCGGCTTTCCTAATCTTGAAGTACCATATATTTCGTTGGTAAGCATCATCATTTAACAGGCTCAATTCCTTCATGCCCATATCAACATTAGTCAGCCAGGTGGTTAGTGTCCTGCCTCGTCCTTTTTTCATTGTCGCTATGGAATGGCATCTTTAGTACATGGTTTTTGGGTTTTCGCAAAATATGTATTGTAATATTTATAATAATATTTATTTTATGAAAATCAGAAGTGGACCACTTATTCCGAGATAGACTTTGTAGTTTTGTTTCGTTTAATGTGGTGGAGGTGACTGCGTAAGTACCTCTGTCTTTTCTATTTCAGTAGTCAAGCAAAGGTTAAAAATTTCACTCACAAAGATTTTCGTATTTTTGATAAACATACAAAACATACGTTTTCAAATTTATAAATCTTGTATGTTTGAGGTTTCTTATGCGGTTGGCAATTGGCGTCCTTGTAGCACAGGTTTTTTATGGATGATAATGGAATGGTGCACCCATCTGCGCTAACGGTTCACGCTGGCGGAGCAACAGTGGAGGATGATAAGATAAACATGAGGTCAAGTCAGTTAGTCCATCGTGACAAATTCACCAAGAATTTATTCTTTCCCCACCTATAGCACAAGTTGTACGTTCTGGTGTTATGTGTTTAGACATGCGAATGTTCGTAGTTAGTCATGCATTTAAATGAAATTAACATATAGGCCTGGATTAACATATATACCTACTACTATACGTCCTATTGAAATACTTCCTATGTTAATTCATGCGGGCATAGCTACAGTTAATATATAAAGTCACGTGCAAGAATATGTAAACACTACTTGTACTTTGTTACATTGAGATTATATATTATAGAACTCGAAAGATTTTTACATATTACCAATTGATGTTATTTATTGCGACATTGTATTATATTACTCGATAGATAACATATCGTTATTAAAAGCACTTTTTTTAAGAAACTTAAAAAATAGAGCATGAAACGCTGTCGAATTTGAGTTTGAGGTCGATATACGATATTGCCGTATCCAATTGCTTACTCTCAAATTCGACATTACTACATCCCCATGTTTAAATTTGTCGTACGAATGGTTTGAAGTCTATAATATCAATAACTGACACAAAGATTTTTAGTTTTAAAACAGAATTTTTCACTGCAAAAGTAACTTAGTGTGTCTTTTGTAAGTGTGAATTAACGAGGTAAAGGGTACAGAATATAGTAGAGGAGGTATACTTTGTACAAAGTCGTTTTTATATAAAAGCAGTTTCTTTGTAAACTGTGTTTTGGCCCATGGTGACAAATTCACTAGGAATTTGTCACGAAGGTTTCCAGGGGGAACCACATTGCTAGCAATGTACCATGTTAGGTTGACCTCTACGTAGTTCCCCTGGAAACCATCGTGAATTTACCACGATGGCCTAACTGACCTAACCTCATACTCAGATTATCATCCTCCACTGGCGCCCCGCCAGCGTAAACCGTTTGCGCAGGCGGGTGCACAATTCCATTATCCATAAAAAAAAAACACACATAACACCCATCAAGGTCAACTGAAAATTGTAGCGACTACGACTGTACAAAGTTCTCTAAATCCTAAAATAGTAGAGTAGTTACGTTACATTGTTTCAAATAGGTTATCTAATTGCGCGAGGGCAGACCGATGAATCCTGATTTATCTTGGATGTATGGCAGCCTGTGTCACGACACCGCTATCACTTCACGTGATCCACCTTTGTATAGGTCAATGATTGTCTGAAACTAGATAACTTATAATTATCACCTTTATATATGGCTTTAACGGTTCTATATCATTATATTATTATTTATTTATTGTTTATTGCACTATTTAAAACAAATACAATTGACGAGCTTAATGCTATATGGCATTCTCTACCAGCTAACAATTATTCTGTATTATCAGTTACTATTACTATGTTATTCAAGATTTTTTTTGTTGAAATTTAGACATTAGTGCTATAAACAGAGAGTACATTTTAATATAAGATTATGTATATGATTGCAGGACATTACAGGACATTTTATTCCTAACAATCTACATGATAAACAAGTCCGTATTGCTATTTATGTATATAGGCGATGGTTACTACTTACCATCAGGCGGTTAGTCAGCATTAATGCCAATCCAATTATAAAAAATAAAACAAAATCGAGTGCACCAATCCGTTATCTTTCACTTAAAAAAGGTATTAAGATATTCAACTATTGTGGACTGATAGAAAGAAATACTCAAGATACTATAACAGTAAAGTGATCTTTTGAACTCTACATTAAGTCAACTCTATCTTGTCGGCACAATAGTCTATTCGACGCAGTTTATAATTTATAAATCTCTCTCTACAAAAGTCAGAGAATACCAAATGAAACACAGGCTATAATTTGTAGTTAATAGATTAGTGTTAATATGAGCACTCTTAAAATTATATTTTAAAACACATTACTTTCGAGAAGCAACGCGGAATCGCTAATCAATCGAGGACAGTCGCAATTTCTTGTATACTCGGAAGTAATGCGGAATAAATTATAAAAAGACTGATCTTTAATTAAAAATAATATAAATTTCACAAAAGATATAAATTTTTTAGTTTATTTACCTCATATAATAACAATACAGCTTAATGGAGGTTAAATTAAATTAAATCAATTATTTATAAATATATGTATACAATCAGTGGTAAATACAATATTTCTCAGGGGTCGATTACTCTGCAAGTCTTTGTCATATAATGTCAGTCATTCAGAACAATTACCTATCTCACTCTTAAGCCGGAACACAATTACAATCGTATTTGCTTGAAACAGACATATTTAAGTAGTAAGACGGATATCCTTGCAGAAAACATTGTATCCCCTTGAGCAATATATGTCACTCTGATAATAAGATAAAAATTTATAATGTAATTTTTGATAATAATTCAGACAATGCCGTATAGTCCCATGGTAAGCAGAGCTTGTGTTAATGGGTACTAAACAACTGATATAAAAACTGTTTTGTAAATACATACATAATATACATAGGAAACAGACCAGACCGATACAAACAATCATACTCACGAATACAAATTTTTGTACCGTGCGATCAAACTCGCGACTATCGAAAGGGGAGCGGTGTGCTAAACCGTTAGACCACCTAGCCTGTCTATATATGAATATACACTATAGTTCGCAATTTTGAAATTAAAGATAATATTGTAAATGCCAAAATATTATAAATATGGTTAGGTTGCTGCTTGTTCATAATAATAATTTCTAATAAATAAAATGTTATAATAAGTATACCATTAAAAAAATTTACTGAGAACTACGACAACAACGACAACGATAACAATCAACCATTGCGCGTAAAAACTTAAAAATAGTATTTAAAAGTAATGTTGGCATGCAATGGATCACCTATTTTCATTGAGTTTTTGAAACGAGAAAGGTAAATATCAATATTTCTGATGACGAGACGAAGGAGAAGATGAAAGACATAAAGGATCGGGGGTAAGAAAATGTTGAATTTTTGTAGAT